TAAAGAAAGTTGCAAAGTATCAGCTTTCAATCTCTAAATAACAATAATCTGAAAATTCTTCTTTTTTTTTTTTCTTTTGTACTGCTAATTAAAGGCCAAAACCCCTATTTGCACCATCCATTTATTTTTTTTTCGCGGTCAACACCTTCCAGAATTTTTTCTCCCTATTCACACCCTCCACTTTTCAAACTCGTAAAAAACTCAATATTTTAACGGAGCATCACGGCACCGTTAATAACCGTTAAAAATTGTAATACGTGGCATTAAACAGTAACATAATCCAATGTGGATTTTTTTTTTTTTTATGATATGGCATAATTAAACCATAATTAATTTTAATTTTTTCATTTTCTTCTTTCCAGCATCATCTTTACCATCTTCCTCTTCATCCTCCTGGGTTCCAAAACTTTATGTCACATTTATTAATCTAATGTTGGACTTTTTTTTATATGTGTTATAATTAAATCATCATTAATTTTAATTTCTTCATTTTCTTCTTTCCCAGCATCATCTTCACCATCCTCGTCCTCATCCCCTTAGGTTCTAAGTTCTTCGTGGAACCTAATTTCACATGAATGCCTACCAAGTTAAGATTTTCATCCACACAATTATAAGTAAATGAATATTGCACAAAAACATGATAAGCATCTTCTACTCCTTTCCCACAAAAAACGAAAAAAACTCAAATTGGCAACCTTTTCAAAAACAATCTCCAAGCAAAAAAACTCACCTTTCCAACAAAAAAATTATTCCAAATTGCTTTGCATAAAATTGGAAGCTAAGATAAATACATTTAAAATAAAAAAATAAAAAAAAAAGATTGGAACGGGGTTCCTTGTGCAGGAGCCCAGAACTGGGTTCCGCGCAGGAACCCGAACTGGGTTCCCCGCGAGGAACCCAGAAACTGGGTTTTGGGTTCCTCGCGCAGGAGCCCAGAATTGGGTTCCTCGCACAGGAGCCCAGAATTGGGTTCCGCGCAGGAGCCCAGAATTGGGTTCCCCGTGAGGATGGTGAAGATGATGCCGAGGATGGGGGGGAAAGAAAAAAATGAAAAAATGCCATTTATGTAACTGTTTGGTAATATTATAATTTTTTTATTATTTTCACTGTATACATGGCGTCCACATCCGTAAAAAATAAACCACATCATAAAAAAAAAAGATCCACGTTAGATTATTAACGTTACATAGTGCCACGTCAATTTTTGAGTGCCACGTAATATATTTTTTAACAGTGTCGTGACAGCCAGTTAAAATATTGGGTTTTTCACGAGTTTTGAAAAGTGAAGGGTGTGAATAAGGAAGAAAAATTCTGGAAGGTGTTGATTGCAAAAAAAAAATAAATGGAGGGTGCAAATAGGGGCTTTGGCCCTAATTAAATGGTATTTATGGCTGACAAAACCAATGAAGTGGTTGTCAAAATCAACAAGTATTTTCTCAGTTAATATGGATAATGAACCGGACTTTTAAATCCAATGGTTCGATCCCAAATTTTAAGTGTTTCGGTGAGATGATCGAAATTTCGAGTTTTACCATCGTCTTGAACTCCACCAAAGCAGTCCGATGGCCGCGCGTCTCATTTGAGGGGTGGAATATTCATCCGGTCTGAGGATCGAATCTCTAGTTGCTAACAACTAATTCAAACTAACTTTCTAATCATTACCTTTGTCAAAAAAAAAAAATATGGATAATAATTTTTTTTCTCGAAGAACATAGGAATTAATCAAAGTATATATACAGATGTAAAAAAATAAAATTATGTGGGTTA